TATATATATATATATATATATATATATATATATATATATATATGTATTTGAATTGCACATTTTTTTTACTTTGCTTAATCTCTTCACCCAAGCCATTAAGCCATTCCACAAAAACACTCCACGAACTGATGTGCACATGCTTTTAAGAGTTCAGCAAATTGCTTTAAATTACATTGTGCTCTCAGTTCAAACCTTCCCTCTCTATTCTTAAATAAGATTATAATATTTTCTAAATATCCTTTATTATAAAGTTAGAATGTTTCAGTTGGACCAAACACTAAATGATACTACAAACATTGGGCATGTCCCTCCTGATCCAGGCTCCAGAAGGCCATATATATATACATTTCTTACTTATGACCGTTGTAAAGAAACAACATCTTTTCATGACATTTAAACTGCCAGTGTTGCATTTTCACTTCTGTGGGTCTAACTTTGGCATGGCTTCAAGAAAACATCAAAAACTTCAGCAAAGTTTCTGGCATCAGTTATGAATCAGAGCTGTCAGAGTAAACCGTGTAGTGTAGGAGTTTCATTAAAAGACTTGTTTAATCTGAGACTTGTTCGACATCGGTAATGCATTAATGCCTTCTTTCTGAGGGCTGGATACTTTTGTACATAAAGACTTGACAGGAACAATGAAGGTTAATGGGGGAGAAAAAAAAAACAACAAAAAGCACCTGTCATCGGTAACATTACGCAGCAGGAGGCTGAGCTGCTCTTTAAATAAGAAACATTTTTATTTTACATTTTTTCAGGCTGGAAGTCTAGAAAATCACAAGTCAATGAACAATTTACTTTTGGCTTTTATACCCCATCTGTGTCAACGACGATATGCTAATAAAAGCCTGTGTCAGGCTCGGGAGCCGTGGCTTGTCCCTGTCTGCCAAATTATTTTACTCTCAGTGCCTTCAGTTCAAAGCCAAAGTGATAGTGTGCAAATGAGGCTTGTTCTTTGATCAGTGTTGCCAACACACTAATCAGATCAAATGGGAACACTGACAACTTCTCAACAGATGTATTATTACTAAAAAAAAAATGGAGGAAAAGGCCGCAGTGCAGCTTCTCATATTCTTTGATCTTAAAACGGTTGGCTGACTTAAAATGGTCTGACCGTTCCTCTAAATGAGACTTTGATTTGCACGTTTCTGCAGCAGCATCTACCTATTTTTTATCACAACCGGTCTGCTGACGAGCAGCGTAACGTTCGAGTGTTGTCTCGTTTGGGATCAACCCTGAATCATGCACACGCAGAAGCAGCAGCAGCGACTTATCTCAAACTGCCAAGTTCACATTTAAAAGCTGTCAGCACCCACCTTCTATTTTTTAGGCAATTACTGAGTTTAATGTGAAACATTTGTTTCTTAAATCATTAATCGGCTTGTGAGCATCATATTTTAAAAGATGATTTAATATATATATATTTTTTTTTAGAAATGCATCATCTTAGCTGCCCAGTGCAATTATTTTATTTTTATATTTTAATTAAAAATTGTTCTTGCAGAAGTGTTGCGTGTTGTTAAACTACAGCTATGTACTGTATTTTTCACTGTATAAGTCAGTTTTTTTGCATAAATTAGCATGACTGCGACTTATACAGCAAAACAACATATTTGTTTTTTTCCCATATTTATAACGCAATATTTGTGAGATCTGGCAATTTCATTCAATCTCATATGGAAAATATTGAACACTACCATTTTCAGCCACTAGAGGGCCCTCGACTGATATGGCAAGCCAAGTCTCATTAATAGGTAAAAGTGGCTATTAATGAGACACTTGGCTTGCCATACAGGCAACCTTGGTCTCGCTCCAGAACTCCTGGAGCAAACGTCAAATCAGCTGCACTTTGCTGCACCGCCCAGGAGAAATGCAGCTGAATGGACCATTAAAGTGCATTTATTAAGGAAAAGTTAAACTGAGACACACCTTTACTTTAATGTCGAGCAAAAACATTGTTCTTAGGTGGTTATCCCTCCCGTGCACGATCCCGCAGCCGCCATTTGGCAGCCATTCGATTTTTTTGGTACAACACCGGCCCACATTCATTTATGTTTGGTACAATGAGACTTAAAAAGTGGAAATTTTTATTTTCACATTGCACACAATTCTATTTGTTTAAAGATTTTCAACTCAGTTTATGTCTCAGCAAACACTTCATTAAGATTTATTTATTTATTCTTTTTTTTTTTTAAAGAAGGAAACGAAACAAATTCATCAAAAAGAAAAAGAAAAAAAAAGACATTGGATGAAAAGGATGCAGAAAGAAAAAGAAAATTCTTATAATATCTGCCCCTTATTAAGATGCCATTTTTATGGATTAAAAGTGTCTATGGAAATAATTATAACGTATAAAATATTTAAGTTATAGATGCATCTGATCTTAATAAAGCTTGTTTCATGTTTATTTTTAAAAAATGCTTGTTTTATTTTTTAGTTAGAAAAGTTAAATTGTGCTTAAAGTTAACTCAATATTATGAATATTGCATATTTCTGTGTGAAAGCTCTTCATAGCTCTATTCAAAACTTTAAAAACTATGTTAACATGCTGGTTT